GAGAGATTAGACACACCTTGCCGGAAAAATGAAGAATTCTTTCGGCAAGCAAAGAAATGGCGACAATAATGATGCAAACGAGCGCGACTATCCATGTCGGTGTATACTCTAACGAGGCTCCTTCTCCGCTGCCTCCCGCCATTTTTTCTCTCTTCTAATCTCAGACAACTTTTACCTATTTCTTACCAATGTTGCTTTGTAATAACATTATGGTTACAATTTATAGACACTGATTGACAACATGGGAAATCAAGAAGTAAGTGTTTACTAATTCTTATGCATTGACTTTTAAGCAATTTTACAAGCTATATGGTGATATACATAAAACTTTATGATGCAGTATGGTGGGTATATCTATATATAATAATTATATATAATGTATATTTGCAAGAACAAACATTTGAATCACATGTATATATAGCAGTGGAAAGATTCCTGTATATGGAGTGATGATAAATGTGAAGGAAAAAGTTGACTTTCTTTTAAGTCAACTAGTAAAGTGCACGTGCGATGCACGTGGTATCGAATGATTTTCGCTGAGTAAGTTTGTAAAATAAATTAATTTATTTATTAAACATATCTTGCAGGAATGAAATAAAATATAGAACAAATGGATTCATATGTGATTTTTTTTATTTAGAATTAACGTAATGATGTTCTAATATAAAAAGAGTGAAATAACGTTTTAAACCACCAACTAAAATATATAAAAAAACAAATCCTTAATACAAAAAACACTAAGATTTTATTTCATCTTTCTAATAAGAAACATTCATACTCGCTGGAGTCCAATACATCAATACTATTGCAAAATTCCTCTTAATTCATTTGGCAAAACGCTAATTTTATTCAAACACTTAAGAAACATTTTGACCCAACATATAGTCAAACTTCATGATCGTATAATCTTTATAATAAGGTACTTCTACTAACAATGCAGAAATATCTCTATAAAATAACTAACCGTGTCATTAAAATTGCTGGTATTTTTTATCATTGTATAAACTACTACATTCCTCTGTCTCTAAACATATTGGTGTCTACCCCATTAATGCATCGCCCCACGAGGTGGGAATGAATTTTATCTCCAAATAAAAGTTGACTTTCCAAAATTTTGGTTGCATGTACTTCTCCCGAGGTGCTAAATTATTTTTTGAAATCATCATACATTACCTGAAAGTACCTCTAAAGTAATTGTACTTATTTTAAAAATTATTGACCATCATGATTGTTGTAATGATTTTAGAATTTTTTATCATAATATCTTTCACATTCGTTTGAATATGCAATATTTGTGTGCCTATAACTTCTTTAATGCATTTATTGTCCAACATTATTTCAGCATACAAAATAATTATAAAATTATAAGCTTGGTTATGTAGATAGAGTTGCAGTTGTAGACCCTGTGGGTATTAGTGGTGGTTTAACTTTGTTTTGGGACTCTAATGTAAATATTTTGCAATTGATATGTAAAGAATTCTATGTTGCTGTTCAATTTAATCTTCCTTCTCACAACACTCAGTGGGGCATTTTTGTATATCTAAGTCCCTGCAGGCTCACAAGAATAGAACAATGGGAGGAGTTAATTCTTAATAAACACATTTGGGGTAACAGCTGGTTCTCCATTGGAGACTGGAATGATATATGTGCAGGCTCAAACAAATCAGGAGGTATCCCAAGAAATTCAGCTAGTTTTCAAGGCTTCAACACTTTCATTGACCATATGGAAATGGAAGAGCTCAGAATGAATGGATATCCATTCACTTGGTGCAACAACAGAGCAAATGCTGATTTAGTGGAAGAGCAACTTGATAGAGCATTTGGCTCCTCAGATTGGCTGACATGCTACCCTAATGCCATGGTCACAAACATACTAAGAAGCTCCTCAGATCACTCTGCACTTCTACTTGATATGGGGCTGCCTAAACAGAAAAGAAAGGCAAGGTTCCAATTTGACAAACGGTGGATTGGAAAGATGGGTTTTGAAGAAACAGTCAAGGAAGCATGGCTCATTCCTGTCACGGGTACTCCATTTTTCAAGCTGAAAGAGAAGATTAAGAATACTCGAATTGCACTTCTCATCTGGAGTTCTTCATTCCACACTCAGAATCAAGCCATCATTTCAGCACTAACTCTTAAACTGGAAGCTCTGAACAAGAACAAGGACAGCTCTGAAGATACTTGGGAATGCTGGGAATCCACAAAGAGAGACTTAAATAAGGCTCATCACCAAGAGGAGATGTACTGGCAGCAAAAGGCTCACTTGAAATGGTTGAAGGAAGGAGACTCAAACACAAAATTTTTTCATGCCTTTACACTTCAAAGGAGAAGGCAAAATGCTATAACAAGATTGGTCTCACCCCAAGGCAGAATCTTCACCAGTCAAAGAGACATTGAGAAGCACATAGCAGAATTCTACTCACAACTGTTTTCATCTGAAGGGAGTTGGGGAGGTGACTCAATCCTGCCACTTATACCACAAACTATCACACAGGATATGAATGAAGCATTGCTAAAACCTGTCTCTGAGGAAGAAGTAAAAGCAGCTCTATTTACTATGCCTACTGATAAGGCTCCAGGAGAAGATGGCCTGACCTCAAAGTTCTATCAGCATTTTTGGGACCTCATAAAGGCAGACCTCATGTCAGCTATCTTCAGCTTCTTCACCTCAGGTATGATCCTCAAATATTGGAACCACACCATCATATCCCTGATTCCTAAATGTACAAATCCAGAAAACTTGGGAAGCTTCAGACCAATTAGTCTATGCACAGTAATTTATAAGCTCATTTCCAAAGTGCTAGCTCAAAGATTAAAGAATTGCCTAGAATCTTGCATCAGTGACTTTCAAGCTGCATTTGTTGAAGGCAGACAGCTTATGGATAATGTCATCATTGCACATGAAGCTTTTCACTTTCTAAACAGACACTCCTCAGGTGCTAACTACTTCATGGCTCTCAAACTTGATTTAATTAAAGCATTTGATCGAGTAGAATGGATTTGCATAAAGAAAATCATGCTTCAAATGGGATTTCACAGTGATTTTGTCAAGCTTGTTATGGTCTGTGTCACTACAGCTACTTTCTCCTTCAAAATAAATGGAACAGTGAGTGGTATGGTCACACCAACTAGGGGAATTAGGCAAGGAGATCCACTGTCTCCTTACCTTTTCATCATCATAACTGAGCTTCTCACTGCTTTGATTGGTCAGTCAGTTGGCAATGAACAGTTCAGAGGTCTCAAACTGTCCAGAAATGGCCCATTGCTTACTCATCTTCTATTTGCAGACGACTCTCTATTTTTTTGCAAGGCAAGCACAGATCAAGCAGCAGTTCTAATGACAATTCTTGAGAAATATAGGCTCTTTACAGGTCAAACTGTCAACCTCCAGAAATCTGCAATCTTCTTCAGCAGAAACACTCCTCAGTCCATTAAATCTTCTATCTGTAATACTCTGAATGGGATCATCTCTCACAGATCAACAAGATATCTTGGCCCGCCACTTGGGATAGGAAAATCCAAGAAAGAAGTTTTTGCCTATCTGTTAACCTCAGTGAAGAAGAAGCTGCACAACTAGAAGACAAAATTTCTAAGCCCAGCTGGAAAGGAAGTCTTACTCAAAGCAGTTATACAGGCTTTGCCCATCTTCTCAATGTCTTGCTTCAAACTCCCAGTCACCCTTTGCTCTGAAATCTCCATGCTCTGTGCCAAATTCTGGTGGAACACAGGTGATCAGCAAACTAACAGCACCCATTGGAAGAAATGGTGTTATCTCACTTTGCCAAAAACTGCTGGTGGCCTAGGGTTCCTGGACTTGCAAATATTTAACAAGGCCCTTATATGCAAACAATTGTGGAGAGTAGCAGCCAATCCTAACCTTCTTGTGAGCAGAATCCTTAAAGGCAGATACTATCCCAATTCCTCAATTACTCAAGCAACTAAAACTCAGAATAGCTCTTGGATGTGGAGCTGCTGGCTAGAAGTTCTGCCTTTCTTTTCCAAATGGCTGAAGACAGAAGCAAGAAATGGAGTTTCTACTCAAATAGCAGATTTCAATTGGGTTCCAAATCTCAATAAGCCAACTCCAACACTGATACCAATTGCCAGAGGTCATCTAAAATGGGTTCATGAACTCATTCAACCCAATGGCTTGCAGTGGAATGAGTGGCTGGTGAGGCAGGTTTTTGACCCTGGTGACAGTGAAGCCATCCTTAAGATTACATCCCTACATCCTAACAGAAATGACAGATTTTTTTGGGGCTTAGAGGCAAAAGGTGACTTCACAGTTTCCAGTGCATACAAGCAGCTCTCAAGCATCAAACTCACACAGCTCGACATTCCTGAAAGCAGTTCTAATGCCACTCTGAAAAAATCAATCATGTTCAGACATTGGAAATTAAAAATTATGGGAAAGGTGAAACATTTTATCTGGAAATGTATGACAGGAACCCTCCCTATGGCTGTTCAACTGAGAAGAAGGAAAGTGAACATTGATCATATTTGTTCTATTTGTGGTGAAGCATCTGAAACCATTGAACATGTTCTTCTCACATGTCCTAGAGCAAGGAGGACCTGGGAGCTATCTCCAGTTTCTTGGAATGGCCTCCACACTGCCACAGACTCTTTCAAAACCTGGTGGTACCAAGTCTGCTCCATTAACCACACAGATGTTGCCGAAGCAAGGATACGATTATCAACATACATCCTTTGGTGGCTCTGGAAGTCCAGAAACCTGTGGATTTTTCAAAACTCACTAATGCCAGTAGCCTCAGTTCTCAAACAAGCTCAGGCAGATTGGCTCCAGTTCTGTTCCTCACATTATTGTCAGTAGATTTCTCTTTTTATTTTTTGCTTTTGTAGCTGTTGGTAGAGGTTGATTTTCCTTACTAGGCTTTTTAGCAGTGGTGGGAAGTTTCCTCTGTATTTTTATTTCTGTTTCTATTCCTCTTGTAGAGGCTCTAGACCATCCTTGGATGTGTCTCTCATTTTTACATTTTCAGGTGTATTTTGTATCTTGAACCTTGTATTGGGACTTTGTTCCCCCTCAGTTATATTATAGCTCATCTGTCGTTCTGGGAAAAAAAAAAAAGAAAAAGATCATTTCTTTATTCTCCAACAATGACAAAACAAAACAATCAAAAC